GATGGAACATATTCTACGAGACAGGACCACATATCGTATACTAAACAAGGATCCAACTATGAAGATCAATTGAATCTTATGTGCCATGCTGAAAGATATGCATATGAATTGGGAGATTGACGCATGGACAATAAATTCAATCGGAAGAAAGGATGCACGAACACCCACAGCCTACGAATTAGCGAAGATACACAAAGAAGGCGAGTCACTAAGGCCGATAGTCAACAACAAGTACGGAGCAACACAAAAATTAAAAAAGTTTATATTTTCGATACTAAATAAATTAGATGAGAGACTATCAAACACGGTGAAACATTCATATGAATGTTATCAAACAATCAAAAACATGGCACTTGAAGAAATGGACTTAATGGTAAGTTTCGATGTGGAATCCACGTATACAAACATCTCTGGATAAAATGCGCTAACAGCCCTGCTGGAAATGCTGGACCGAGAGGAGGATATTCTGGAATCACAACGGATCGGTAGGGAGTCCTTAACCCGACTGATCAACTTGACAATAAGGACAACATATTTCACATTCCACGGGAACATTTTTGAACAAATATCTGGACTTCTCATGGGATTGCCGCTCTCACCAATTTTGCCAAACGTATACATGAACAAAATAGAAGAGAGCTTCAAGATGGCACCGCTACAACCGACAGTGCTCATACGGTACTGGATGATTACTTCGCAATTTGGTGTCATGGAAGAGAAAAACTGGAATATTTTCTGAAGTTTGTAAATTAAATTGATGGAAAAATTCAATTCACGATGGAAGTAGAGGAAGGTGAGCGGTTACCATTGCTGGACATTGAAGTGATTCGCTCTAATGGGACGACTATAAAAAGAAATTGTTTAGAAAGAAGTCCTATGCTGGGATAATGCTCAATTGTAATGAGATGTATTCACCCTATTTCGTCTAAGGTGATGAAGGACTGGTAGTAGAATTTGCCCACACTCATATCATGAGATGTCTTTTTGGTATCGTAAGGTTAGGTGTATAAAATAATGACTAGGGTTGCATTCAACCATCTTTTCTCTTGGTTCATCATAGTTTTGCCAACTTCGTAAAGTATGCATTCTTGCTCTGATGATGTCTGTCACAGTACAGTCAAAAACTTGGCACAAGTCCATCGAGGTTGCAGGACGGTGAGACGAGGACTTCTTCGCCCAACACAACAGTCTTCTTTACGCGACAATCCTATTTCGCTTTCCGGTAAAACTACATGACTAGTTCCTTCATACTAACTTTTACTTCGTAATGGAAGATCGTGCCACGAAGGAATTCTTCGAAACCCAGTTTTTCTTCATATCCTCAAAGTAGGAAGATGGCATAAAGCCTCTGTTTTTCTATCTACACTCGCATACTCTTCAACTAAAAACCCATCCAATATTAGTCGAAAATAATTTTAATTACTCTTATAAGATAAGTATTCTCAAGTTATTATTATCATTATCATAATAACCTCTATCAGCTAATCTTATACTCCGAATAGTCATTTATTTTTAAATTGGCCCATTGTTTCAGAGGGGGCACATAAATGCAACATAAGGAGACATTGTGATAGGAATTTCCATTTTGAAGGTATGCTAGGCAAGAAAATCATGAGATGCCTTTTGGGGATCGTAAGGTTGGGTGTATAAAATAACGACTAGGGTTGAATTCAGCCATCTTTTCTCTTGGTTCACCATATTTTTGCTAACATCGTAAAGTATGCATTCTTGCTCTGATGATGTCTGTCACAGTACAGTCGAAAACTTAGCATTATACACATCACATTGCATTAAAATAATCTCTTTATGTGACCGTTTCTGTGTCGTTCCATTCCACAACGGGTCGTTGAACACAAAAATACCCATGTAGCCTATCGGGCTCAAGGATCAGAGATTGTGGAATGCATGGCAGAAACTGGACGGTCTCAAAGCGGTCATTTTGCTGACTGTGCTGTAGCATCAGGGAAGCGTAAAAAGTTTTGGGCTATAAAAATCAACGAATTGGTCAGTAGGCTGAAGTCGAGGAAGATCGGTGCAAATTTACAGATTATTTATACTTAATTGAAAGACTTAAGAATATAGAAGTTGTTGAACCTCTTGGAGAAGTAAAGTTAAGCCTACAATCATACTTTCTATGCGTCGTGGTTCTCTCTTACGCACACGAGCACAGACGTGTGTCTGGCGTTACGCAGCCGGAATGATAGTTAAAACAGAACGAGTCTAAGGGTTAGTAAAGCTTGATGACTGAGGACAGAGGTTATGCTTTGTTGCAATTAATTTGGGCTTTTATTCCCTGTTTCGTGCATATACATTTTCACATGACAACACATAAGCACACACTGGCATATGCACACACATGAATTGCAATAACCAAATCACATTATGCTTCATAAAAATGCATAGCTCAGAGAATGTAAGGATAAGCCGATGGGTTTTCTCGATTCGTTAGCTTGACTAGGGTTACGAGGAGGATATCACATTTTGATACTGTTCTTCATGTAGCGCACGAAGTCCCAACATTCTTTCACCGGCTACTAAGGAGACAGCCTCGGGTACAGCAGTGATAAGAGTTTTTTACAAGGGCTTATCTGCAGCTGGTCAAAATGATTGCAACTTCATCTTCCGTTATGATCAAACTTCGAATCTCTTTATCATACCCTTGTACTCGATGGTAGGCAAACTCAAAAAATGTAGAATTCTTAATGCTTAATACATACTTAGGATTCCGATTTACGGGATTTACGGCGAGCTGCAAACTATGATTGCCTACAGTCTCACTACCTTTAGATAGAGTAGAGGTTTATCGTTTGTGTGATAGATCATCCAAGGACACGGTTTATGCTCATATTGATGCAAACTGACTTTAGTTCAACTATTGTGGGGCATTAGTTGAATATTTGAGTGCATGTCTGCTATGATCTTGATACCAAAGGAATGTATTCAAAATTCTC